TTATTATTATTATTATTATCATACTCTTATATACTGAGAAGACAAAGCGACTATCCTGTGAAAATTGTCAAACTTTGATGACGGTCAAACAACTTCTCTTTGCTGATTAGCATGACAAAGTAGACTCTTCAGAAAACATAACGTCTTCTAATTGGATGATATTGTTATCCAACATGTCCATCATTTTTTCACAAAAATAAGTTCTTCTATCAAAATCGTCTTCCATGAGCTCCTGAGTAGGTATCTGAGTAGGTAGTTTCTTTTAATATGTTTACTATCGATGTATGGCTAACATTGAATGTAGTGGATGCCTGTCTATTCGATGTATGTGGGTTTTCCTCAAACTCAAGCATAAGATATGGGCGGTATATTAGTAAATGTCTCATGAAATAAGCGAACTACTTTCTGTTGTGTTCGGGTTTTATCTCCGTAATTAATCATTTGCAAAAATATTATTTTATGCATTTCCGTTGACCTAACCATTTGTCAGACTTGAAGTTAACGAACTTTAAACTTAAATTAAAATAATGACACTGCAGTTTGAGTAGAGCCTTGAAAATGATAACACAGCCAGCTATCGAAAGCGCTCGCATACAATAAATAGAAGTTATTAAGCTCCAAATCCATTTTGTGACATATATGTGCATTCAAAAATACGAAATTGAACATTTTGAATATTCCCACAAAGAGTCAGTTTTTGACGTAACTCATATTTTTTCGCAAATGACATCAGAGTTTGATTTTTGATTGTAACACACTGTAGGTATACTATTACATTTTTGAAATCCCATGCATCCGATGATACCCTACAGTTGATATTTGAATAATTAATTGAAACATATGGTTCTGTCGGGTGTCCTGCAAAATCACCCGACTAACCCCTTCAACTATCTAACAATACAGTTCATCGAAACTACAAAAGTTGTTTCATAGCTTCATAGCAATTTTTCGGTTAAAAGAGATCTTGAGGGGTTATGTCTGGTTATCATGCAGGCCACCTGACCGAACCAATCCATATTTCAAATATCAAAAATAGAATATCATCGGATTCATTAAATTATATTTATTTGAAAAATGTAATAGTATATACAGGGCTTTTCATGATGAGCGTTAATTAGCCGTTTCTGGCAAACTATTCAACGGATCAAGCTGAAAATTCCACAGTATGCATAAGTCAATATGACCTACACTCCTAAAATATTTTAGACGAAGCGGCATTATCGCTTCTACTATAAAGTAGCGGCTTCTTTGATTTTTCAAATGGAACACCCCGTATATAATATCATATTATGATTCATTATCACTTTGTCAACAAATCAAATTTATATCTTTTAAACGGTAATAGTTAGGAACAGGGAAATAGTATATGAATTTGTTGACAAAGTGATAATGAATCATAATATGATATTATATACGGGGTGTTACATTCGAAAAATCAAAGAAGCCGCTACCTTACAGTAGAAGCGACAACGCCGCTTCGTCTGAAATATTTTAGACGTGTAGGTCATATTGATTTATGCATACTGTGGAATTTTCAGGTTGATTCGTTGAGCGTTAATTAGCCGTCAGAAAGGGCTAATTAACGCTCATCATGAAAAGCCCTGCATAGAGTGTCTTTTGCTTCAAAAACCAAACTTCGAGGCCATTTTCGGAAAAACCGCAAGGAAAAAACTTCCGTCACGTCAAAAAGTGCCTCTTTGTGAATATATTCAACATTCGAAATTTCGTAAAAATAGCTCAAGAAATAAAGGAAAAAAGGGGGGTGTACCATGAGTCTGTGTCTCCCGGTACAGAAAAATAAAGAAGTAGATATCAACCACGGCTGGAACTATATCATTTCGTAAATTAAAAATTGAATTTTCACTGAACTGAGAAAGATTTGAGAATCGTGGGAGGTATTTACGCAATGATTTTCGCATCACTCTTCCAAAAATAGTTCTTTAAATATAAAACGACTTACCGAACCTTCTATTTTAGAATCTCGGATGTAGAAGACTATATCGCCGATTCTTTTTCGAATAATTGGATCATCGTGCGTTGGTAGACACTCTAATAAATTCATGGGAGTTTTTTAAAAGTTATTGACTGTTAATTGTGAGTAACTGTTTAAAATTCCCTGACACCGAAAGTGAAAAAGTATGTTTGTATCCGACTAACAGAGTTTCTCAACCAAATTTCGCATAAAAGGGGAAATCTTGTCAGGAGTTCCCCAAGGATCTGGGCTCAGCCCCATTCTTTTCCCGACTGAAGTTAAGATATATGCCAAATTCACTCTCATTGCAGATGATACCACTATATCATGGAAAAGCTAGAAGACCATACTGTTGAATGCAGCAACTTTGTGCTGATAAGGGCATAAAGTTGCTGCATTCAATAGTATGCTTCACAGAATATTGAATATTCCACTGTCTGATAGGGAGTTCCAGAAAGAGCTGAATTTGATCAAACAAATCGCGGTTAATAACGGTTATAAAGTAGATATTATTAACGCCATTCTCACCAAAAAACTTCAAAAGCAAGCCATGGACTTGGTCTACCCATATTCAAGATGCGATAATGTCAGTTATAGGACATTGGCATATTTGGGTGAACCAACCAGGAATATCGCCCGTTTTTTGGAGAAAGAAGGCGTAAACGTAACTTACAGAACAAATAATAATCTGAGTAAATTTATTAAAAACAATAAAGACAAAACTTCGTTGTTGGATAGATCAGGAGTATACATAAAAGCTGACTTGTGGCTCTTGTCCAAAAATGTATATTGGCCAAACTGAAAGAACATTTGAACTCATGTCCTTTTAGCAGAAGGACATGAGTTCAATCATGAATACGATGTGTTACATTTAGAAGAGAAGAGTTTGAAACTCAATCTTCTAGAATGTTTAGAAATCAATAGATCCAGGATTTCGTGTAATTTACTGAATGATCAATTAGAATTAAATAACTCTCCGTTACTGAATATTTTTGCAAATGTGGAAAATGGAACATAAGCTCAGGTTTAAATTCATTACAAACTCAGGTAAAAAATCAGGTACTTGAAATTCAGGTACTTCAAATTGTAGAATAAGGTATATATAGCATTCAATGTGTAGAATTAGTTATTAAGACACGCCCGAGGAAGCCATTGTATGGCGAAACACATGTTGCGTTTTTGTAAAACTATCTAGTAAAAATCACACAATGAAGTGTTTTTAGAATACGTCAATCAATTCATGTTTCTACTAGATAAGTCTATACTAAGGTGACGTACCAATTAGTTCATATTTCTACTAGATAAGTCTATACTATTTGTTTATTTCATGCTCGTTTTTAATAGATATGATATCACTGAGGTCGATATCAAGGAATGGTATGCAATTTCTTAAGTGAAAATTATTTCAGAAATTATATTGACGAACTATAAAAATACAATGTAAAATTCTCTTAGAATTCACATACCTATCAAAGAATGTGATCAATTGGAAAAAAACTGAAGTGATAGTGAGATGGTTTCATTAAAAACCATAATTTTGAATTGAAAGGGATTTATTTTCTGGGAAGGGCAGGATTTGGATTTCTAGTTCTCCATCATTACACAAAAAAGTTAATAAAGTATAAAGGCGGGGAATCAGAAAGCCAAAACATTTCTTTCCCACCATAAATTTAGTGTGGAATATTTATAGTCATACAGTATGGCATAAAAATCTACTAGTTTGAATTATGGGAGCATAGTCAAAACTTTCATGAAAATTATTATTTTGCTGTCATTGAAGAGCAGGTCAGGATGATTGAAGTTGTGAAATATGTCGGTTAGATCTGACAACACTGTATACTTTATTCAAACTGTCAAAAATCAATTTTATACCTTTTATTTGGTTGTCCATATTTCACAGATCCAAAACCATTTTTGTCATTTATTCTACATATTATTTGAGTTGAGTATTTATTCATAATATCAATGGAAATTCATCTTCAAGTCGCTATTTTTCCTCTCAAAATATCGTGTGAGTATTAAGTGTTATTATATATTAGTTATGAGTACTCACAGCGAAATAATCGAAAGCTTCATCACAAGCATCCAAGAACTCCTGTGCCATGGGTTCATCTCTGCAATAACTGACGTGCTTATCAAAATCCCTTTCGAGTCTAAGGAATGTTTTTCCAATCATTATGGGCTGCTTGGCATAATATTTAACTCCTTCTACCAGAACTCTGAAACAAAAATTATATCATAATAATACTAACCTGTCTCAAGTCAACCTAACCTAACCTAACATAACCAATTCAAATATAATACGTTATGGATTTCCATTTTAACCTAATCTCACCTGATATATAATCTAACCAAACATAGTCTGATATAATTATCTGCCAAATCACGTAAAATCTGTAGCAGACTCTACAGACTTCATAAAAGCTATTGAAGGTCTACTCTCTGAAGGACCATGTAATAGTTTGGGAGAATTTTTTTTGAAGATAATAACTGTCACTAACATTTTCTCAGTGTTTGTAGGAAAACTATATCATATCGTATCATCCACGTCATCCCAAATCAATGAAAATATTAAGTGGTGATATCGAACTCCGTGCTCAAACTTGGTTTACATTTTACTTGACTACTTGATATACATTTACTTTCAACCATTGCCATGATTTTTTCTATCAACTATTCATCATCTTTCAAAAAATATAATAAGTAAGCATTTTTCAGTTAAAATCTATCATACTGATGTCAATATTTCATATGAACGTCATCAAAGATACACCTTATACATTGCATACATATTCAATTGAGCAAATTCGTTCAATTTCTTTTTGTTATTTTCTGTACTGTTGTTTTTTCCCTAGTATGAACATTGCATGCTTCTTTTTTATCATTGTTATTATCGAATTATGCTCACAGTGAATCATTTTGTTTGCTGCAGATACCGCCGTTGTAAAAAATAACGTTGAATTACTAGAAGAAGTAATTATTAACTCACCTCACTAACTACCCATTAGGTTAGGTTAAGTTAGGTCCCAGTGGGTCTAGTCGACCCTCCACCGCAACCCGCAAGGATTTACTGTGGCTCAAACCTATTCACACTCGACAAAATCAACCCAACTTCCTAACGAAGCCGATTAGTTTGTATGGTGAGTGGTCTTTCAAGTCAAATGGTAAAAGTACGGCTCTGCCGAACTCCAAAAACCTGATTTGGTCCCCAGCGGGGCAGACACATAATATGTGCTCCACTGTTTTATCATTTTCCAGAGGCGACACTCATTGTCCTCCGACAGTCCGAGTTTCTGCATATGATGATCCAAATGACAGTGATCTGTAAGAAGGCCTGTTAGACATCGTAGTTCAACCCTACTGTAGTCCAACAACTGTTTGATATCAAGCTTCGAAGGGTGAATAAACGCCTTGGAGTGAGCCAATCCTGGAAAATTCTGCCAGAAGTCCATGAATCTTTTTGCCATCCAGGTGTTCCATCTTTGTTTGGCAAAGCCTAAAGCCATGCCAATGACAGGTTCTGGTCCGATGAAGCTGCTTGCAGCACCCTCCTTCGCAAGGGAGTCAGCAGCCTTATTGCCTCCAAAGCCAGTATGGCTAGAGAAAATCTCTCCGCACACAATTCCATAATGTGAAATCCCGCTTGAAATGCAGTCGCATAGGTTACTAGGCAGGATCTCTGTCCTGGATCTGCTTCTGAAAACACCTGCACCAGAACCGAAAAGTGTTTTTGATCCATCTGTGAACCAACAACTATCTGCTCTTAATATTTCCTTCTTCCCTATTACTTCCCACCTATTACTCCACTACTGGTAAATACTAGTCAATAATCAGCATGTTGCATTTGAGAAGCTTCATAGTAAGAGACAGGAAGGACTCTGCTTTACCAACGAGAAAGTAACACAGCACTTTTTGTGGCACGAAATAATGGTTATGAATTGAGGCAATCTGAGAACAACGATCTTCTGGTGATATCATAGGAATATGGGAACCATGAGGATATAACTTCATTTCTTTTCACATAAGCAGCACCTTCATTTCAAAATACAATGCTTGAACTTTTCGATCTGTTTTTCTATCCTACTGGAGAACAAGAAGGACAACGCTCAACAAGATAGAATGGGGAATGTTCCTCCTACGAAAATCAAGTAGTTTTCATAAAAGAGCTCTGATACATCGCATTTTAAACTTATCATTTTAACCTTTTTCTTTAAAAAATTATTTAAATACTTAAACAAACAGAGACAAACAAAAATGACATATTTCAGAGGTGTGCTGTTCTGTTCACTTATGTTCCGAGTTCCGAGACATTCTGTGACATATGACATTTTGTGCACATAACCTATCTTCCTCTATATAAATAAATAACAAAACAACTGTTGTTTATGTGGCTTGTGGAGATGGTATTGAACTATAATTTATATTTTGCCCTAATTATTGATTTATAACGATAATTTTCCTAGTAGAATATCTAGGTACGTATAAATCATTTCAACTTAATATAGGCGCTGTTGCCAATATGTGAATTAGAATCAAATCCCTTTGAAAATTAAAACCCAACATTTGAAACATCAATTTGAATACTTTTCAAAGAGAATTTGAAAAACTCATGAATTAAACTCAACTTTATCATGTTCGAACCTGCATTTGCCGTAATAACCCAAATTTAGGAACATTTCCCATTGAAATTATAGACCATTGAAACGGCATATTTTCTTCAAATTGAAAGAGTTATGTTTTTAAGGGAGATTAATTATCTTTCTACAAGATAGAGATGTAGAAAGTCTTATCTTCGTTAATACAGTTACTTACGTTCTGTGAAATTCTGCGATCTCTTTGAAGTTTCCAAAGATGATATCGAAATTATCTTTAATGACCTTCGGTACCTTTCCAGATTCGGAAGGAATTAGGTATCGTTGGACAACTTGGTCTAGGTCTTTCACGAATTCTTGTTCCGTCTCCACTAATTCTCTCACCACAGCCCTGTAACAATAAAAAAAAAGAAGTTTAAAAGGAAAATAGTAATAATATTTATCGTTTTTATTGACTGAAACACAAATTATACAAATGTATAATAATATGATAACAGAAAATATATTATAGAAAAGAATGTCAGTCAAAAGACTTGTTCTTTTTCAACCACCAAACGTGCATCTCAAGTAGATTCTTAACGCGTTTCTTCAATAAAATCAAAGGTGAGTCTTCATAACCAGGTGGAATCCTATTCATTAGCTAATTTACTTAATAAGAACCTCTGAAGAGAGTTGTTCTGTGGCTTGGTCAAGTGATTTCTATCGGATATTTAGATTATGTACGTTCGTTCTGAATCTTATTTTGTGGTATGAATACGATGGAATTTTGTTGGTTGCGATTTTTTCGAATAAGCAGCAGGCGTGAAATGCTCTACATTCAGTCACGTTCATCCAACCCAGAGCTTTCGAAGCATGATCTCTCCTACGTACGAGCAAGCCGCATGTGAAATCTTTGCAATCTAGTTATATCACATTTCAGAAGGGAAGAACCAAAAATCACATCGGCTTAGTTTGCAAGTGATAATATGAGAGACTGACATACAGTTATTTTTGAACGCTTATTCAGAATATTTCCATTCGAGTATATAAATACTAGGCCATTATAGTCGCTTTTTAGAATCAATGATACGTTGGAGGAACATCTAAGGGTATTGTTCATAATGAGTCCCAGATTTTTCGTGCTATTCTCTAGAGCTACGTACTCATTGGCAATCATAATTTTCAATTCAGGTAGGTATCTCTTTATAGCTGCCGATCTTCCACATAATAAAACTTCGACTTGGATGGATTCATCTTCAAACAAAATTGATCAGATTGCTGCGTTAGAGAGTTGGGATCATTGTTAAGTAAGCTGGTAGCATGATTTGAATTGTTTTAATAAAAAAAAGATATATTCGAGTATGATCAGCATAGGAGTGGACTAAACAGTGTTGAAGGAAGGCCCGATTATAGATCCCTGGGGAACTTCTGAAGGAATTTGCGAAGAAATTGATACTTGATTGTTATGAAGCACTGAAGCATACATATCATTTTTTACGATTTTTAATTAGGTATTATTTTTTAGTGTTATAGTTACTTGAAATCAATAACAATTTCAATTCGATTCATTATTTAGAATGTTCATTTATTGAATGAGAAATGAAGGTTTTGTTATATGTATTTTTCAAAAACTCAAGCTTCTCGATCGTATTTCAAATTGTGTTTACAAATAATGAACAATAACATGCTGATGAAGTAAAATTGAACTGTTTCCAAATGAACGTATAACTAGTCAAGAGAAATCTGTTCAGTCAATTTTAATCTGTTTTCCCTCAGCAAGTTTTTGCCCCCATACCACCAACAAACAATCCTCAGAAGTCAAGAAGTCGAGCTGAGGGTTAACGTGCGATTACTACCACGACAAGAAAAGAAACCTAATGTAGTTTTAGCCTGATAACATTCTGAACATGATAATGAAGTGCATTATATTGTATGTATCTTTGAAATTTCAAGGAGAAAGTGAAAAAGTTTTCTAAAATAATGATTTTGCCAGTAATATAGCTATAGGAGTTCTAAGCCAAAATCCCATGTATTTTCTTATGGAGCTAAATTCTGGACCTCTTTGGACCTCAGCCACTTCACACGGAAGGGGCATTGGTGAACGTCTTGTTTCTGCCAGGCGTTCATTATAGGTTCGTTCCAACCAGCGTCAGAAACAGTTTCTAACAGTCAGAATTCTGCGCAGTAATGTGATTGCGTTCCAACGTGAGTTTCCAACCATTAGTAAACTATCAGTTTTCTGTTCCATCCAAGATTCAAGCCTGTTCGAAATCTATCAGAATGGTTTGCGGATTATCTTCTAACCATTAGTCTGACGCATGCGTATTTCGTATTACTGTTTCTGTTTTATGTTCATGTAACTTGCAAACAACATAACCTGCAAAAATTGTTATAAAATAAATTATGTACTTGCTGGCGCAGGAAAAATTAGAAATTCTCTAAGTGAACGTAAAATATGAACATCTTTAATTACACAAATTATTCATTGCGGTGACCTACTTTTATCTCCCAGTTCCATGTTGATTAGTAATATACCCTTGTATATACGGAAAACTGATTTGAAAGAAGCTGTTCAAAATATCAATATATCTTCAAAGAACATTGAATTATATCTACAAGTGAATAAACTCAAATTGAATATCAATAAATCTAAGGCAATGATGGTTACAACAAATTCAAATCAAAGAAAGATTGATACTAACGACGTTAATATCAGCATTATTCAATAATCAACTCACAATTGTAAATGAAATTAAGTACCTTGGATTCATCAATTAAACCATCAATTAAATTTGAATAAGCATGCCCAATATACCATTAGAAAGATATGTAAGAAAATGTATTTTTCTCTAGAATTTCAAAATCTTTATCAACCTTTACTAGACTAACATGTTACAACTGCATAATGAGGCCACACTTGGACTACTGTGCCACACTGATGTATCTATTTAACCAAAATCAAATGGGACAGTTGCAGAAACTACAAAATCGAGGTATGAGTCATTTTGAGATGCAACCAGTACACCCCTATTGAATCTATGTTGAATACTCTACAGTGGCAGCCGGTACATAAAAGACTGTATTATTTGAGCATGATTTTTATTTTCAAAATTTCGAGTGGGATACAACCAGCCTATCTTAGCAGATATTTAGTTCGAAATGGTGACATTCATTCATATAACACAAGAACATGTAATACATTTTATATATCCCGAACAAACTATAAGAGTGGAATGAATTCATTGTTCTTTAAAGGTCTAGGTTGTTTCAATAAGTTACCTGATGAAATAAAACATGTAATTTCCTTAAAAGTATTCAAAAAGTTATCATTAGAATATATCAAATTGTAATACATGACGCACTGTAAAATTATATACGTATATAAATTATTCATATATGCATGACTATATATTGTATATTAGGATTCCTAAAATAAAGTCTACTACTACTCTCCAGAAATACACTTGATTATATTTATTTTTAAAGGTTATGTTGAAATTCCATGCCAAACTTCAGTTGAACTATCAGCTGTCAGCCTGTCAGCTGTTCCAATCAGAAATTTCAAATTAATCAGAAACCAATATCTACCAGACATGCGCGTTGACAACGATTTACAAAATGTTGGAAATCTGTTGGTGACTCAAGGTTGGAACGAACCTTATGTGTAGACTGAGCCTTAGCCTTCAAAGCGCACTACAGACCACCTCCACTTTCAGACCACCTACACTTCTCCACTTTTACCGTCATACAGTCGACCAATCAGAAACTACCGCGCATACAGCGGGAAATTTAACATCTAGATTTGAAGTTTTGGCCATCTAAGTGACGTTTTATCGTTTTAGCAATTTTTTTTCCGTAGTCTCCAAAAAGGTCCAGAATTTAGCTCCATAAGAAAATACATGGGATTTTGGCTCAGAACTCCTATAGCTATATTACTTTCACCAAAAATATGGTTCTCGTTACTTCCTTCATTTTTATTGCTCTCAGTTCTCTTTACCTTTTTCATTGTAAGTATTAGGATTATTTATTTCATTTACATGATGTTAGCTTTGGTACCCACAATACCAGAGTTTGACCACAAGTGTCACTATTTATAATTTTTCAAAAATAACCAGAGTTTTTTTTTGAAAAGACATGCATTTTGGATAAAGTCAATTTAAATATTTCTTCTCATTTCCTTAAATTATAGTAGTCGGAATGAACAGAGTAAATAATGAAGAAAGCAGATCATGCTCATTTTATAACTTCTCGATGCGTGTTTCATCAGCTCAGTTGACGAATTGACAGTCTACTTCACCTACTGAAGATTTCAATTTGGTGAACATTTTGAATGAACATTCATTTAAAAAAAAATTGTCATAGTCATACATAGTCGAACATACATATCTTCGCAACCGGTTATCAAAATTTCAAAAAGTTGGGGTCATTGTATAAAAATTGAAACACCTCTTATAAGAAGCTAGTACTAAGTTGCTGTATCGCTGCTGTTCCAATGTTTTGACAGAATAAGAATCAACGAACTTGGGCGTGCGCAGCGTTATACAACAGTACTTTCAAAAAATTGATCTACAGCGCCATATAGTGGCGAGTCACAGAAAAATTGATAGCCTGAAAACCTTCTCTATGAAAAATTACTTACACATGTCAAGTTTCATCACGATTGGTTGAGCGATGTAGAAGTTTATCACTTACCAACCAACCAATCAACAAACATCCATTTTTATATAGTAGATATCACAAGACCCCCCTTTTTATTTGAAAAAAGTAGACAGCGCCCTTTTGGCGACAAATCACACTATTGGTTTTCGTATCAAAAAGTAGTAAAAATGCCTCCGTTTTTTTTGAAAAAAAACATGTCCACTGATATCTTGCCCACTTCGAGAGTTGAGAAAGGGCGGAGACTATTTACGTCCGTAATAAATTCATTCCTAACCAAAAATCATAGAACTGATTGGGTGAGAAAATTTTCAAAGAAGAAACCTACAGCCTTCTGTATTCTGCATCTCCAGGAAGGCCTGTCGTGCTCAAAGTAGGATCATCGGCCGTTTGTAGAATCCTACAAGGTACCCATCCTTGCTTCTTACTACCAGTCACTTCTTTCACGAGCCATCTGAAAAAAAATCAACGTTAACTTATGTCATTAGAACAGAGCTAACATGAATACAGAACAACATTAGTGGTGTATAGTCCATTTCATAACTATTGGACCATCATTTCACTTCACTTGGGGAGAAATAACCCTCAATATGGACAATACTTGAAGGCGTGTATTCATTTCAGCCTATGGCCTGTAACGTAACAACATTTCGTAACGTAACAGAACAAGATAGGAAATGAAGGCGCATGTAATGGTGGTTCAGCATAAAGGCGTCCATTCATATGAGTAAATATCCTGTTACGTAACCGTACATCGTCTTGCAATATGACACGATTCGTTTCCATATCAACCAATTCGTAACCTAACTGAACAATGTACGAAGTAACGACGCACGGTAATGATTGCTCGGTAGGTATATAGGCTCCCGTTCATACGAGTCAATGGCCCGTTACGTAACAACGTACATGTTCGGCTCGTTGCGAGATAACACGACTCCCTTCCGGACTTTCGACCCTATCAATCATTTGGTAACATAACTGAACAAGGTACGAAATAACGTCGCATACAACAGTCCAAAATACGCCGTACATACTGTCTGCCATTTTGAAAAGGTGGTGCTCTCTATATCTCGGCCCTTTTAGAAAATTTAAAATCATGGAGAAACACACCAAACTCAGTTTTCGATTGAGGTTGAATGGACTGACGCCTATCAGAAAACAACTACTCCCCTGGCTAATACCACGAAGGGTATTGGATTATATCCGACAGGCATCAGCGCAGGAATCTTCACAGAAAATTTCCTGCATATGCAATTGGCAATACTACTGAAAGAGTCGATCTTAAATTTTGGAACGGGCACACTTGCATACCGGTTTCGGGCTCATTAGCCACTCATTAGTGCAAGATAGTGACCGTCATCAACCTAAAGTTGGAGCGAACAACAAAATGTCACTCCATCTTGTGGACGAGGTACTTACTAACAAACTGCATATCCGAAATTTGTCCAATTCCTCTGAATAAGGAAGGAAACCTTTCACATTGGTCAGTGGGAACGTTTAAAGTTCATTTCTTTAGATTTGTTTACTGCCAGTCTTCAAGCATAGCCCACTGACTAATCAGAAAATTATTGGAGAAAAGAGAAATTGAACTTTCTATGTTTTTTACCACTTTTATTTGTAACCAACGTTACTGCAGTTTCGTCCTATGAGGACATTTTCAAAGTCAACTTATACAATAAACAAAGTTTATTGTATAAGTTTGATAATACAATATTCATTATACAAGGTGATTCAAAAGTACTTTGACAAACTTCAGGAGGTGATTTCTCACAATATTCTAATATGAATTGTCCAAATAAATAAATGTCCGGAAACGCTTCGTTTCCAAGATACAGGTTGTTGAAGTTTTATTTTTATTTTGGTTTTTTTCAAATAACTTTTCAAATACTGAACTTAATTAAACGAAACTTGGTAATAGGAGGTTTTTGAGATGTCGAATTTGAACCTGATGTTCTTATTGCTCTTACTCGTAGGGGGCGCCACCTACACGTCTTTTTCTTTTTTAACGATTCATAACTTTTTTGGTCGTACTTCTAGCACATTTTTCAGTAAAAAAATCGATTCCTCTATCATATCTACGTAAATAAGCTACCCTTGTTACTAGTCGCTATAAGCAACCGTTTTCTAAATATTTGGACTTGAAAACTTCAAGTCGATTATTTGAAAATCGATTCATGTTGAAGTTATTATGAATATTTTGCTTTTTTCATAAGAATGCTTTGGAAATGAATTTGACGTTTTACTCGTTTGAAGAGGTCATTACTGTTGGGTACATTCCTTTATGACATCCTTAAGCGAAATAGTTATTTTTGTATCAAGGGTGCATAATCAGTATTTGTTTTAATAAAATTTGCAAGAAATGTCAACATTTCATTTCAGAAAATTTTGAATATGTAGAATAAACTAAAATAAACGAAACTGAATTGTATTCAAATAAATTGTTGGAAGTGTCCACCTTCAGCGAAGATACAGGCAGTCAGTCGTCTAGTCATTGAATCTCGTACCCGCTCAAAAATTATTGGTGTGTTTCTTATTGTTTCACAGGCGTCTACTATTCGGTTTCTTAGATCTTCCTCGTTCACTACTGGAGTCGTATAAACTAGTGACTTCAAATGTCCCCAAAAATAAAAATCTATCGGGTTTATATCTGGGGACCTTGATGCCCACGCCTGGTTAGGTTCTTCTACACCCCTACCGATCTATCGATTTGGATATACTATGTTGAGGAATTCCTTGGCTACAACGCTAAAGTGGGCCGGAGCTGCATCATGCATAAACCACATGCGGATACGAATTTCTAATGGTACATTCTGAAGTAGTCCCGGCAATGCATTTTCTAAAAAGTGTCTGTAAGTTGCGCCATTCAGTCGGAGCGGAATAAAGAAAAGACCTATCACGTAATTATCATTTATTGCCGCCCATACATTTACAGAAAATTGCTACTGATAATACCTTTCACTAACTGCGTGCGGATTTTCGAGAGCCCAAACATGGTTGTTATGAAAGTTTGTGATAGCATTTCGGGAGAAGTTTGCCTCGTCCGTGAAGAGTACATATCTTGAATATTGAGGATTTCCAGCCAATTTTCTCAAAAACCATCGACGCATAGTAATGCGTTGGGGAAAGTCTCGTGGCAAAAGAGCTTGTACCCTTTGAATATAGTATGGATGAAACTGTTGATCGTGGATAATTCTCCAAACTGTGGACTGAGTAGAATTGACAGCTTCAGCAATTACTCTTGTGCTTGTTTCTGGATTCTCCTTGAGAGCGTTCAAAACAGCTTCTTCCAATTCTGGGGTTCGGACTGCTCGTGGTCTTCCAATAATATCAGCTGCCCTCTTAAAGCTATCTGTTTCTGCCAAACGACGGTGGAGACTAGCAAATGTTGGAGCTGAAGGCAGTACTCGATTAGGAAATCGCTCCTGGTAAATACGTCTTGCTTCGCGCGCATTGCCATCCGCAAGGCCATAAACGAAATGCATATCGGATAATTGAGCATTATTGTTTAAATAATCCATTTTTTCAAAATAAGTGTTTTCTACTTCTACTTACGGAAACTTCAACAAAACGTCTAACTGTCACAAAATATGTAATTACCAAAACGGTTACTTACAGCGACTAGTAACAAGGGTAGCTTATTTACGTAGATATGATAGAGGAATCGATTTTTTGACTGAAAAATGTGCTAGAAGTACGCCCAAAAAAGTTATGAATCTTTAAAAAAGAAAAAGACGTGTAGGTGGCGCCCCCTACGAGTAAGAGCAATAAGAACATCATGTTCAAATTCGACACCTCAAAAACCTCCTATTACCAAGTTTCGTTTAATTAAGTTCAGTATTTCAAAAGTTATTTGAAGAAAACCAAAATAAAAATAAAACTTCAACATCCTGTATCTTGGAAACGAAGCGTTTCCGGACATTCATTTATTTGGACAATTCATATTAGAATATTGTGAGGAATCACCTCCTGAAGTTTGTCAAAGTACTTTTGAATCACCCTGTATGAGTTTGAAAATGTCCGTTTAGGACGAAACTGCAGTAACGCTACAAATAAAAGTAGTAAAAAACATAGAAAGTTTCATTTCTCTTTTCCTCATTATGATTTTCTACCATGTAGTCATCAATTCATTAAAATTATCATTGGACCTTCATTCACTGAAGAACATCTAAATGGTGAGTTATATTTGAATATGCAAGAAAGAAAAGAAACAATAAACCCCTCAATAACAAGTTCAGAAAAACAAATAGGCTCGTAATATCATTCAGTAAGACGATCTTATTCAATTTCACCAAGATCGAGCTCCACCACATCACTCCCTTCAGACTAGACAATGACTCAATAATATATTTCCTGGCAAATCTATTAGTCGAAGAGGAGCAATAGAATGGCCACTAGGATAACCAGACATATAGTCTCTAGATTTCTTCCTATGGAGCATCTAAAATCGATTGTTGATGAAACAAAGTCTTGAGATTCGAGGAAACTGAAGAAGAAATAACAGCTGCTTGTTGAAAGGTTAAGTGTGTTTGTATTTTGGAAAAGCTAGCTGAACGACCTTCAAATGAGGTATCACTCAACCTCCCTTTTCATTTTAGATTTCAGGGATTGTAACCTGCCTCTGCTAGAGGGTTGCCCAGTTGAAAACTCACCTACACAATGTTCCTCTTTGAAGAAATCTTCGATGTGGTTTTGCATAATTTCTATAAATGCCAAAACATAGATGACTGATTAGTCAAATGAAGTATGATGGAATTTCCAGAGGATTTCAGGAAATTTTCAGGACATTTTCAAGATCTTTCCTATGGTACTTATTTTATGATGATGGTACTTATTTCTGTCTAATAACAAGAAAACAATTCTTCTCTTCATGAAAATTATTCCAAATTATTTACCTCTGGTTGATATTCAACCTAGTTGGGGAATGTCTTGAACTGGCGTGGGTTCTTCTAGGTTTCACTGACAGTTTGTGACGTGCAGCAGAATTATCCAGGAGTTCTCCAGACACGGTATCCAAATCATGATCAAGTTTCTGGCGTCTGAAAATACAAGAGGTCGATAATACCAAATTTTTTTCTGTGAAAATGAAATATGTGCACAATTTGTCACTTAATTTTTATTCGTCTGTCAACTAAAATACGGTTGGTGAGTAATGGTTTGGAAGATACTTAGTTCTACATTTTTTGTGTGACTTAAACCATATCAAATGGAAATATGGAAAAAACTCATTATGGAAAACATGATTACTGTTCAGACTTTTCTGACTGCTAGCTGACAGAATACGGGATTACGGGGTGACATAAAATACATATCTACCAAATGTCGTAGGTTTCTACATGTGTATTCCCTTAACGATGATAATAATTTTAATTCTCTGTTGACGAGCAAAAAGTCTAATAAAACGAGTATCATACTATTTATATATGTAACCTTTTGGCCACATCCAAAAATTATTATTCCTTGTGAATTTATATAAACATATGGTATAGTATTTCCAATACCAATTGAAACAGCACAGAGAAGGAATTCCCGCCTCGACATAGGCGTCGGCATATTATTTTTCAGTGGTAGTTTTTCAGTTTTTCTCGCAATCATAGCAATTGATCACCCCATGAAAAAGTGATCTCAACTGAATTTTTCCACCATGGGTAATTATGAAAAACTTCGAAATTTAAGGTAGTTGATTTCAGAGTCGAAAATTCTAAAATACAATGAAAACACGAATAATCACACCGAATTCTCGTCAAACATATATTTACAAAATGATAGAAGCCAACAAAATTGCTGTAAAAATCAAAATTCTTCTTCGCTATATTCGGATGAGGTGGAATCATCATCGGATTTATGGAACTTTGCACAAAATATTTGTTCTCTTCCTTTATAACGTGGGCCACACAGTTCTTCCACACATCACTATTACCTACTTCATTCACCACTCGCCTTATATTGTCAAGCACTACAGCATTCAAAGTCGGTGACTGATTACATTTCCGCAAGCTTTCTTTCATTGTGGCCCAAACCATTTCAATTGGATTGAACACACAATAGTATGGAGGCAAACGTAAGAGAATATGACCACGTGTTTCACACATCAATAATATACTCTTTTTTGAAATTACGTTGTTTTATGGTCGCCAGTAATTCCTTTTTTGTTGGAATCTTTTCGGGTATTTCCATGTCATGATTTCAGATGAAATCAACAATATCTGCTTCTTTTGTGTTATTGTTTGGTATTGTAGTCAATAACCGAGAATGATACGAAGCGTTATCCATAACAATAACCGAGTTTGGAGGAATATTTGGGAGAAGCTGTTCACTGAACCAGGTTTCGAATAAAGCCGCAGTCATATCTTCGTGGTAATCAGCAGACGAATCTTGTATATTTTTGGCTGACAGAAGCAGAGCGTTAGGTAGGAAGCCACTTTCATTCCCGGCATGCAAAATTATAACACTTTTTCCCCTTGAAGAAGGTGTGTTCAAAGCACAATACTTTGTTTCGTCTACACAGCATCACCCAACATCAGGGGTGTCAAGCCAAGTTTCGTCGAGGTAGATTATATGTCTGCTGAATTCTCGGTAGCTTTTCGTTCGCCTCAAATATTCTTGTCGGAGTTGAATTATGACCATCCGATTGTTCAATTTTTTATATTTGAAACGACAAGACAATAAGACACCTCGTAGAGTTTCTAAAGATTTGTAATTGTAATCGGGATAGTCGAGTAATTTATACCAAATCATTTCCAAGGTTGGTATTTCATTTTTTTTGTATATACCATAAATTGTTCGCCGAATCACATCTTTTGTAGCACCATCAACGTTTGCGAATTTTTTATTCCTTTGTTTTCGTTTCATTGCATGGTCAATGACATCCCCTATTTTAATGACTCGAAGAACTGTCGAACGAGATGGTTTCGTTAACTCACATATTCTATTCACAATAACATTCGGTGAAGTGTGATAGTTTTCCTTCTTCAAGCATTCATTAATATTTAAAATTACTCGCTGAATTTCAAAATGTAAGTCCTTATTTTCAAATTCCGGATCCCTGTTGATTGACACAGATTCCTCACACGTAATGTTATCATTTGTTTCAAAAGGTCTCCAGAAAGCTATATTGATGAAAGTACCCAAAAACAACACAAAACTGATATTTTTGCACTCGACGCGCGTTTCGCTAACAAGGTTAGCATCTTCAGGAGAAGCAAATCGATACTGAATCTAAAGACAAGGGTTAGCTGTTTATATACCTAAAGTTTTTTCGGGACAATGTGGACTTTGTTTGTTGAATGGTGATTATCCTAATTGATTTGTCGGTAATTAACTAATGGAACCACTACCTGTAAATTAATTTGTCCGCTTTTTAATCTTTTGTTGACAAATTTATTTGCAGGTAGTGGTTCCACTAGTTAATTACCAAAAAATCAATTAGGATAATCTTCATTTAACTAACAAAGTCCACATCAGTAATTTCGGTAATGAACTAATGGAACCACTACCTGAAAATTTATTTGTCCGCTTTTTAATTCATTGTTGACAAATTAATTTGCAGGTAGTGGTTCCACTAGTTAATTACCGAAAAATCAATTAGGATAATCATCATTCAACAAAAAAAGTCCACATCAGACCAAAAAACTTCAGGTATATAAACAGCTAACCCTTGTCTTTAGATTCAGTATCAATTTACTTCTCCTGAAGATGCAAACCTTGTTAGCGAAACGCGCGTCGAGGGCAAAAATATCAGTTTGGTGTTAGGGTAATTAATCTCTAGAAACAGTTTTCAAAAATCGGTTTGAAAAACCACTCACTACCTAACCTAACCCCACGAACACACGGCACTGATAAAGAAATATTGTGAAACGGACAAAAAATTAGTATTCAGCCACTCCAGCTGGCCGAGCGTTTGATCCTCAACTACATTTGATAGCACGTTGACTAACTATCTGGGCGACTAGGGGCCACATGCAAGAAATGTTTATGACTGTACTCTTATTTTTATTGCCGTTCCAATTGGGAATGGATAGACTATAAATGAAGTGTTAAAGCTATTTTTGTCAAAGCTAGTTATCCGATTTACCAGACTAGAAGATAAGGCAATATTGTGAAATTAATTTCAAGACAATCAAGAAGCAGGTAGCTTGCACAGGTATCTATGGTATAAATAAGGACAACATTGAATGCAGATTTAGATTGTGTTATGTAAGAAAACAAATATACATAAAAAGTGAATTATTTCACGTAGTTGTGATAATTGTCATAAAGAAGATTATTTTTGGAAAAGTATTTGTTTATTAAGTGTGTAGCGATTTTTCCCAATGACAATTTTTTTCAATCTTCATTTGAAAGTGTTCAAATTCGATGATTGTTAAATTATATCATCAAGCTCATTAAACATTTGAGAACGATAAAGAGATCTTTCTCTGAAATATTTTCCTATGAACACTGACCCATTAGTTCATCTTTAGAACGAGTTGGATGATGGTGGAAACAGTCAACTTAAGATTTTTGAATGCATCTCCCTCCATGTATTCTCCACCCTAAAATGGTTCTCATTACTATAAACTACTTTTAATGATTGTTGATTGGACTGATATATCTTACTTTGTTGGGGAGCTGTGTTCATCTGTTTCTAGAAGTTCTACTGCGGCTCCCACGTCCAAACTGAGTTCATCGGAAGAACTGGCAGCATACTTCTGCCATGCTATAAGAATTTCTCCAGCCACCTGAATTGCATAGAAATATTATTGGATGTATTTGAAAAATGAATTGTCAATAATACCAAAAAGCAGTTCTGTTAGTTACATGTTTTCATTACCATTTCTGAAAGTGATGTGTAGGCGTTCGATTCAGCTATGATTTTGGAAATATGATGGAACTGATCCGATAATTGATAGAAATCCATTATAACGTATTAAAAAAACAGACTTCATCGTGATATTTCCACATGGAAGTTGAGAAAGCCGCGACACGTGTGTAGCTATACAATTTTATTTTCGGGAATGACGCCTGAAGATGGTATCAATAATAAAACTAATATGCTTTATTGTCCTAGGAACATCAGGTCCCATTGACAAAGCTGCAAATTTTCTTCAGTCACCATACAACTATATCTACATATATATAGAGTACGGCTGATATTAAAATACAAAGTTTCATCAGTTTGGACTTCCAATTGTATTGGTTATTTTAGGGATTTTAAATCAATTTATATCGTATTAGACAATGTCATAGCCAAGTGGTTTAGAACTCTGGCCATTGAAGAGTCTGGTTTAGATACGTTGACGACACCTTCATAATATGGAACCATGGAAATACTGAACTAAACGCCTTCCTGAAACACATCAACAGCGTAAAACCATCTATCACCTCCACAATGGAGAAGGAAGTCCACAACGAATTGCAATTCTTAGACGTATTGCTGAAGAGAACCCACACTAAGTATACCGAAAACCCACTCACACGGGACACTACACCATCAATCGACTAAAAGAGGAATCATCAAGACTATTTCAGACCGTGCTTTTGGGCTCTGTAATATGCAGGAAGGTCTTGAGAAGGAACTAGATATTATCAAAAATGATCTTCAACGGAATGGCTACTCCACAGCGATATTGGAACAGACTTTGGCTAAAAGACAACAGGAGCCTCGCAAGAAAGATAAGCCGTCACAACCAGTGCTTGCATTTCCCTGTAGGGAAACGCAATCACTGGTTGTGACGGAGGATTATCGTTGTATCAGAGGATTATCGCAAAGGATAAGAGGAATTGGATCCAAGTACAACACCAGAACCTGCTTCAGAGACTGCGATTCCAAGAATTGCATTTACCGGATACCCTGTGAGTGCGGAAACTCCTATATCGGTGAAACTGAGAGATCAATGAATGTTCACAATGCCAAGCACAAGAAACACACAGGGAGAGGAAACCAGCAAATCAAGAATAAAAGAGCATATTTGGACCCATCAACATAATATCGAGTGGTCCCAATTTGGGATCATACACAGGGAGGAACATTGGTTCAGGAGGAAATTTAAAGAAGCCGCATACATGTTGTCCAACAATGTATTCAGTCAAGCTAGCGTAGAGATACACAGCATTTGGAAATCCATAATCAAGCGAACAATGGCCAACTCCCGCCACTAAATCGGTGAAGCGGAAAAAGGAAAGCGGAGATAGGTGAAAGTACTCGAATGGCCCATAAATAATCATTTTTCGGAGGAATTAGTCCAGTAATAAGCCGAAGGCGATTGTGGATATTAACAATCGAAACGTCGTTCAATTGTTCTATTTTTACTTGTTTTTTATTTCAGTATCATTTCATATCAGGTTTTTTTTTGCTTAATATAATTGTTATTTTCAGCTATTCATTTTTAATTCTTTTTTTCTAACTGTTTCAGGGATTATGGTAAGTGATGGCGTTCCATGTTGAAGCACATTCGAAATTTGTAGTTATCCTTTAAAATATCAATATGGCCAGATGAATGATTAAACATGTTAAGGCCATTATAATATGAAAAATCTTTGACTAGAGTAGAGAATGGTATAGGTGATCTTTGTCATCAGTTCGACAAAGGGCATAATTATTGAATGTTACAGCCCTTTTCTGTATAATGAAATAAGCCTACAAACCAAGTTCCTTATAAGTTATTCTCACTGCAAAATACTCTGAAGATAGCTTTTTATTGAGGGTTATAATGTGATCGGCAAATTTAAGTTTATTTTCTATGATTATCCCCAAAAATTCAGAGCTAGATCTGTTTCCAATCATCTTGCCTGCGTCCTTTGTTGTTAATGGTATGCTGCCAATAAAGCAGCGAAATGAGTTTGTTTTGGAAACATTAAATGCCAGCAGATTGAAGTCGCGCCAGTTTTTTATTTTTTTTTTGTAATGCCTGGGCTTATAATCTCGTGGAGACTACATAATTTTTCATTACGCCATAATATCATTGTATCATCCTTCTATATCGATAGATGTTGAATCGTTAAAGTATAACACGAAGAGTATCGGCCTCAGTATTGAACCTTGTGGTACCCCATTTTTCATTTCGTCTTCTGATGAGGATGATGAGGTTTTTTCTATCTGACTTCTTCCTGTGAGATAATTCTAGAACCATATATGAGTAATTTCACGTATAGCGAAACACGTGAAAATCTAACATTGAAGTGTGTTTCTTGGAATACGCTATAATTTTGATTGGACTTCGTTTTCAATAGTGTTAGTGGTGTGAGTGGTTTTGACAAGTGAGGGAGACTAACTAGTGTGACATGTGAGTTTTCATAAGCAAAATATTCAAGCGATTGTGAAAGTAATATTAACAGAGTTTTTCATTGAGAAGATACTAGAGTTGAGTTATTGCAGTATTATTTGGAATGATTTGTAAAGATCGTGGCCGCTTTTGAAATGAAAGCTTGCGATCACATATCGAAAAATAAAAATTACCCTCGAATTCACAATTATTTTTGTGTTTTTTAGATGTTATTGAGATAGTTATGCTGCAGATTGGGTCATAATTGCTGATTTTGTTGCAAAAATCATCCAGAATTGAATATTTTTCTGAAAAATTCTTCAATATATGAGTCAGTATGAGTGAACAATAGTTTTTTTACATCGCTGAACAATGTGAATATCAAAAATATTACTAAAGAGATTTCAAATCATATTATTTCATAGTAGCTAAAAGAAGTCCGAACTAATAAAATTCGTATATCGTTTATTCTTGAAAAATTTAATTAGAAAATGAGGGTGACTTTTCACAAGAATTTCTTGGATGTTCATAGGAACTTTTCAAATGTATGGAATTTATTTCACGGAATTTTTGCTTCAAGCCAAAAATAAGTGATACATATAGCCAAGCTTGATTCATACACATATATAAGCAAGCAGCTTTCTCAATTATAAAGGAAGCTTTCAACATACAGGTTGTCTCAAAGAAAACATCATCGCCAATTTGTGTTTCCTTGAGTATTTTCGTTGATCTTCTCTTTCTGCGGTTTGTGTGATCGTGTCAATGTTCTAAATATCTAAGAAACAAAATATTTCGTTTGAAACAGTTTGACTGAAGTTTCCATAACATCAGACAGAATGGCATCAGTAAATATACAGGAGGTGTGAATATTACTAGTTGTCATGATTGAAATCCAAAAGATTTCTAGAAGGTTCATTTTCGGTAACATTATGATCTTCTACCACCTTACTACGTGGTAGGAGATCACAATGAAAAGAGAAATGAAAATTTCTATGTTTTTTACCACTTTTATTTGTAACTAACGTTACTGCAGTTTCGTCCTATTTGGACATTCTCAAACTAAAACAATAAACTCAGTTTATTGTACACAATAAATTCAGTGGAGAAGTGGTAAAACACATAGAAATTTTCATTTCTATTTTAATTTTTTATTCTTGGAAATCATATTATTTTTCTTATATATTTTTTCAATGTGACATGATTCACATTGAAGTGAGTTCTATGGCATTCCTTATGGAAAAACACGTTGAAATTTGAGCAGGTTAATTCTGTCGATTTTTGGACCACAAGCCCAGTTCACAGATATTGGAAGGAACAAAGGTCCGCGCCTCGTCTCTGCCAGACGTCCATTCTGTGTGAATTGGGCCTTAGACTTCACTTTTGTCGCCATAGAGTCGACGAATCAGCAGTTACCGCGCACACAGCGGGAAATTCAAATCAGTAGATGAACTACACCGGTTCTAGCCCAAAATCCCACGTATTTTCTCATATAGCTAAACCTTTTAATTTTTATGACATCCGATCGGAACCTTGTGGCACATCCAACTCAAGGTAGGTGTGTTTCGGAGAGTGGGATAAAGAAACATGTGACGTAATGAATGCAGAGAAGGAGGGAATGAGTATCGGAGAGATTCAATCCATCCTTCTCTGCATCGATTACGTCACACGTTTCTTTCTCCCATTCTCTGAAACACATCTACCCCGAGTTGGATGTTCCATAAGGTTCCGATTGTATGTCATGAAAATTGCAAAAAGTTTAGCTCCATGAGGAAATACATGGAATTTTGGACCAGAACCGGTGTTGTTCATATATTGTTCCATTTTGGTATATTTACACAATGCCTTTCTTCATCTGGGCATCATTTCGAAGTAACTTACGTAAGGTTTGGTTTTATCTGAGGATGCCATCACTCATTACAAAATCTGAAAAAAAATATAATTGATTACTTTTTCTATACATGAGATACTATAATAATATATGCCAATTCCTTTGGTATAACATCAGGATACGTTTATTTGAAATATTGATAAGGTATGAATGGATAGCAATAACAGAAATATCAATCTAGGAGAAAAATATCATTCTTATGGGTTGTAATAAAAAAATTGAATCTGAATTTCTTCATTCAAATTGAGACGTTAGGTTGGGTTAGGTTAGGTCCAAAGTGAGTGGGTCTATTCGAGTCTTCACCACAACCCGCAAGGGTTTATTGTGGCTCACACCTATTCACACTCGACCAAATGAACTCAGCTTTTTAACGAAGCCGATTAGTTTGTATGGTGAATGATCTTTCAGGCCAGATGATAAGATTACGGCTCTGCTGAACTCTAAAAACCTAATTCAGTCCCCAGCGGTGCAGGCATAAAGTATGTGCTCTGCTGTTCCATCATTCTCCAAATAGAACCGACAAACACTGTCTTCCGACAGTCCGAGTGTCTGCATATTATGATTCAAATGACAGTGACCTGTAAGAAGGCCCGTTAGACATCGTAGTTCATACTGTAGTCCAACAACTGTTTGTTATCAAGCTTCGAAGGGTGAATAAACGCCTTGCAGTGAGCCAATCCTGGAAGATTCTGCCAGAAGTCCATAAATCTTCTTGTCATCCAGGTGTTCAATCTTTGTTTGGCAAAGCCTAAAACGATGCCAATGACAGGTTCTGGTCCGATGAAGCTGCTTGCAGCAGACTCTTCTGCAGAGAAATCATCAGCCTCATTGCCTTCCAGGCCAAATTGAAAGGAGTGAGAGTACATGCACTAGTCTAAAGTCGTAAGTCGCAAGTTTTATATTAATGATAATGATGATTTATTTATAATCACTTCCTGTACCAGTACTATTCGCAATAATAAAATTACAATACAAATAGATTCAGGAATTTAAGAAACAGTTGAACTGCTTGCTTGTAAGTAAGAGAGTTACTGCAAATATATCAATATATACAAATAGTTGAAAATAGTAGCTATAGATATAAAACATGGGAGTTGTGGTACCTTCAAGAAAGTACTGCATTGATGTGTCAATCTGCCTATTCCTCAGGTCTTGTCGCTGACCTTTGCAAGTGATTCAAACTCAAGCGTCGATTGGGTAGATAGACTGGGATTCATCAGACAAAGCACTCGAAAAAGGCAAACCATAGACACGTGCTACGGGCATTTGGCCCATCATCAGTATGGTGCAGCAAAATGCAAGGATTTTCAGCACTTAGTTGTCATAAAACGCAAATGCACGAAGCCTTTAGCAGAATCCAGACACACTATAACCTACCTTGGTATTTATGTAATTACCAAAAAGTAGCTCGACCCAGGCTAGTCGATTATTGTGGGGCTGGGCATGAGTAAGGAGAATGTTTTTTTTTACAGTCTGAATAGATGGAAAAAATAAGCCCTGGGGCTTCAGTTGAACGGATTCAACAGAGAAGGGGTGGAGAAATAGCAAAAAAGTCAACAACGAAGCTACGAGCTTGAAATTTATATTGAATTGATATATAGAAGGGAATATTCACAATACCAATACCAACTGGTGAGTAATAACGATAGATACTCCTCTGAATAGTTTCTTATTCCCGACCGTGAAAATCTCCTCGGTTTTATATACTCCTGCTTAATAGACAGCCCGCTATCCCAGCGATATTTCGATAAAATAATGAACTTACAGGGCGGCTCGACTGATTCTTCTGAATTAAGAAATTTAACCCGTCACAACACATTTGTGATTTAATGTAATAGATACTGTGTCTACAAAAGTACTACTAAAATTACTACAAGATGTATTAACCGAAACCACAAAAGCACGGATGGCTTCTGCTAACGACTCCGTGCATATGTTTCTCATTTTGGCAACCAAGTGTTGCTCATCCTTGCACTTGGCTGCACCATACTGATGATGGGCTAAAAACCCAAACACGTGTCTATGGTTTTGAGTACCATGTCAGATGAATTGATCTTTGGGAGTCATACCAACCCACTGGATATAGAGATAAGAGATAATTTCAGCGGACAAAGCACTCAAAAAAGGGCAAACCATAGACAGCTGATCTTTCGAAAATTCATTTGTATTGTAGAACAACAATTCATAGCTTTTGTATCACGATAATGTATGTACCTGCTCATTCGTCATTGCTTGTTTGTAATTTTTGCCAAAAACAACACCGTAATCATGCCTCAGCCACCGTATTCACCAGATTTGGCCCCCTGTGACTTTTTCCAGTTCTCAAGGTTCAAGAGACCCATGAAAGGAAGGTGAAGAATTGGAGAAAATGCTAGCACAAGTATATCATATCTGAGGAGGACTACTTTGGAGAGGACGAAATAAACATTGATGAATGAATAATTTTTTTTTTGGAAAAAATAAAAATTCACCTTATTTTTTGAAGAAACTGATACATCTATGCTCGTGCATAGATAGATGTCACTGAGTATTCATCATCAAATCATTTGGGACTTATTAGGACTCAAGACAGCTGCATTAATCATAGTATATATCAAAATTATAGTATATATCAAGGCAATTAGAGTAGCATAAAAACTAAATAGTTACCGAACGTCAGTAGTTTCTTCGTATGGCATGGTAGGGTGGTATAATTTTTTTATTGAATCAGTTTTTTAATGTGGGAGGTTTCATATAGTATCAACTAGTAAATTTATCAGACCCGGACATTAGTCTTTCCGTTAGCTGTTTGAATTGACTTCGTACAGACTATACACGCAGATTCACGAAAATTAAAAACTTGAGACCAATAAAATGAAAGAAATTGAACACACAAATCGAGGCCTGGAAATTTGCACTTGAATCAATCAATCTGTCAGTAGGAAACAAACATCAAGAAATGATCATCATTCAAAGTATACCTCATGACCGATTACACGAGTGGATTAAAACTAGTCATCGAATTTGGGGATTTTGAAATTTGACGTTGACATTTTTTTCTTAGAAAATATCACAACTAAGCTGTCACCACTTCTGGGAATCAACAAAAAGGAAATTCTTCACATATCTTCGAGATCTTGGTCACCAGTCACAGAATTGATCTATATAAATAGTGGGTCAATTTGATTTAAATATCATCTTGTTGAGCGGTTGCCAACAAGAACTATACTTTCTGATCAGGGGCGCCAATTGTGTTTCATTTTGCCACCTACTAATATTATGCATTGTTAAAATCTGCATCACAAGTAAAATCTGTTTTTTCGTTAACCAGTTAATCAAGTTGATGCAATCATGAAGGTTTCAGCTTTTTCGTATTCTACATTTCATTACGTTTTGCATTACATTTTAGTTTTAGAGTTTATTTTATCGAATTTCGGCAACCACATGATTATAATTTATTTCCTTGATTGTTGCAATAAACTTGAAAGCGATAACATTTTTGAATAGAGAATGAAGAGACCTTTTCAACGATATATCACAAAGCTATATTTCCCATTCAAAACATTTAGGTTTGTACCTGTCATTCGAACGGAGTTGAAAGTAGGGGTGGAATTTTTACTTTGAAAAATGTCAAATTATAATTTACATTTGAGGTGTTTCGGGATTTTTTTTTAATATGTACAGTAACCGAATTTATTCCATTTGGCTTTAACACACTGTATATTTTGATAATAAACGTCTTTATTATTTTCAGAAGAAAACGAAGGATTGAAGAAATATTTAAGAAAGTAATTATTTTTAGATTGATTTTGAAAGAAAGGGCGGAGATCAGTCCACTTTCTGAATGTTCAGAAACTGAACTGAAATGATCTTCTATAGAGGGTGTAACTGAATAAGTGTAAAACATTCAAGGAGGTGATTCCTCATCGAATAAAAGATAGGATGTTTCATATAAAGAAACTTCATTGGAGCATCACTTGTTAAGATACAGCGCCTTAAAGGGGGTACATATAATTTGTATAACAATTTTTTTCACAAGCACTGAAAAAGTTACAATATTGAAATTATCGTGACGTTTTGTACTACTACTTAGCCAGTAATTTATTTGGTTTACCCCATGGTTGTAAGGGGTGGAAAACGTAACACCTAAAATTCATTTCCAATGTAACTTTTTGTCTTATTATTTGTTTACTATTTGAAAATTTATTTCCGATAGCCTGTGTCATTCTAAACAAAAAATGTATCTTGGGTTTTTCGCCCAAAATAAACCAGTTTGCAGCAAAAAATTATTTTACGAACAACTACAGAGATACATCGTCATAAATGCGAACTGGATTTATCGTTATTTTGTAGTTAGTACCTGCATTAAACGATTAAAGGGTAAGAAACAAAACTAATTTATCAATAACAAAAAAAACATGTAGAAATCATAGTAAATGTTCAATATGTCGACCTTCAGACATTACGCATGCGTTTAGACGTCGGCGCATTGAGCCACGTATTCGTTCAAATATTCCTGGAGTCTCTGTGATTACCCTGCACGCATTGATGATGCGGTTTCTTAAGTCCTCTACATCGCGAACAGGAGTACGATAAACCGAATGCTGTAAATGGCCTCAAATTGAGAAATCGAGAAGATTGAGATCCGGGGATCGAGCGGGCCAGTATGTTTCAGTTAAATGCTGACGTGCTACTTGACTAAAATGGACGGGAGCCCCATCATGCATAGAAAACATATCGCTTCTGAAGCCCAAAGGAATTTCCTCCAGCAGTACTGGATGCACTTCTCTTAAAAATTGAACGTATGCCTCACCATTTAATAGAGGAGGTAGAAAATGAGGCCCAATTGAATCATCACCAATAACTCCGAGCCACACGTTAAGAGAAAACTGTTCTTGATGGTTAGTTTCGACAATAGCGTGAGGGTTTTCATCAGCCCATATGTGATAATTAGGAAAATTAGTAATCTTGTCTCGAGAAAAACTACATTCGTCTGTGAATTCTATCGTCTTCAAAAAGTTACAATTTCTTCTAATCATTTCCACATCCAATTGCA